TAAATGCCGCCAAACACTGGAAATTGAAGGCTAAGAAACAAACAATAAAAAAATCTCCGTGGCAGCTGAAAGAAAATGCTAAGGTACCAGTTGTTAAGAAGACAGAAACAGTTTGTGAGTACATTCGCCGAATAAAAGTATTTCTCCAAAGGAATCTCAGCACTAACGTGAGAAGAGACATTTGGGATCAAGCAGAAAATTTGTTAGCTGGCGTTTCCCAACATGAAAGTTTTCCGGACGAGATAACTGAGCTAGAGAAAGGAACATTAAAACGATCAAGTAAACTATGGCCGTTGTCTCCGGTAATTGAGAATGGACTTGTGAAACTTAACGGTAGAATTGGACATGCCGATGTCGAAAGTACTGTGAAGAAGCCCATAATACTTTCACCGAGTCATCGCTTCACAGAGCTACTCATCCAAGACGAGCACGAGCAGAATGCGCATCAAGGCCTCACGACTGTTCTGAACAACTTGAGACGGAAATTCTGGATTATCCATGGAACAAGTGCAGTTCGTCGCGTGATAACCAAATGCATTAAATGCAAATTCGCCAAGGTAAAACCGCTGCAGCCGAAGATGGGCGATTTGCCGTACTATCGACTAGCTGCCGGCAATCCTCCGTTTACTTACACGGGAACGGATCTCTTCGGACCGTTGGAAGTTGTCGTCGGACGTCACAGAGAAAAGAGATGGGTTATGGTGCTGACTTGTATGGTCACGAGGGCTATACATCTGGAAGTGGTGTATGCTTTGTCAACCGACGAAACAATCATGGCGTTGTCGCGGTTCATTGACCAGCGTGGAAGACCGAAACATATATTTAGTGACTGTGGCACTAACTTCACCGGTGCTGCTAAGGTGCTACGGGAGAGCAGGGGCAGTTTGGACTGGAAAACAATCGTAGACAACCCGAAGTTTCGAGAAATGAAGTGGAGCTTTTCTCCGCCGTATTCACCACACTTCGGAGGTGCATGGGAGATCATGGTGCAGCAGACCAAGCGAATTTTGAAGGCTACGCTGAACGACAAGCATCCCAAGGATCAGATATTGCTGACGGTTTTGAAGGGAGCGGAGAACATAATCAATTCTCGCCCATTAACTCCGATGTCCGATGACCCGGCTGACCCGGATTGCTTAACCGCTAATCACTTTCTACGTGGATTTGCAGACGTTGGAATGTCGATACCGACGTGTAGCAAGGAGATTGACGAATGGTACAGAGAGTCCTGGAAGAAGGCACAGTTTATGTTGGAGACATTCTGGCGAAAGTGGAAAGCTGAAGCGTTGCCGAAACTACTCAGGAGGGAAAAGTGGTTGGCAGATGCGGAGCCCATTAAAATTGGAGAAGTCGTGTTGCTCCTTGACGAACACGCTCCACGAAACACTTGGAAGAAAGGAATTGTGACCAAACTTTATCCAGGCAAGGATGGTGTTATCCGGATCGTGGAAATTACTTACAGCGATGGACGAAACCGTAAGTCATTCAAGCGCGGAGTTGATAAAGTCGTTCCTCTCGGATTTCAAGCAGAAAATCAGGAAGACTGTCCTGATTTTGGGGGCCGGAATGTCTGCGAGGACGACGAGTAACGTAGTTTTAAGAAAATATATTTTGAGTTATCAAGTATGTGAGTGTGTCAAATAATAAGTTGTCAATTTTTGTGATATAATAAAAACGCTAGATAAAGAAAGTTCCTTTAAATACCATAAAAGACTACCGATTATTAAGGGTTTGGTTAGGGATCATTACAGAAGTTATAGGGCTGAAAACACGTTAGTTTTAAAATAGAAATTCAGGGCAGTTACACATTGGTCTGATACCTCTGCCACAATATTAAAAAAC